GTGCACAAAACGCTGGTAAAAAGTCTTATTTTAATGTTGATGCTCATAAACTATATATATCTTCAACGATATGTTACAATTGGTTTTTATTCTACATGTCAATAGAAATTGCCCCTGTAGCAATTCCTGGATCGATTTCCCGGCGTGGTTGAATTACACGTGTGCCTGCTAATAATGCCAAAGTGATTGTAAGGTACTGCATTTCCCGCAGAAATTGAACCATTCAAATTAACAAGTTCTCGCTTCTCGTGGCAATGCATCCATATTGGAAAATTGGAGACAATGTTCTACTCATGCTCTACCAAGGCACAGGAGGGATCTTACTTTTCATTGATGAGATGCCGAGTCGCCATGATCAAGCTGCTTCCAGTGGATAGTTGTGGTTGTTGGCCCTAAGCCTCTTAAAATGTGATAGTTGTTACTATATATGTTAAGTATGTAGATATGGACCATATGGTTGTTGGCCCTTAGCCTCTTAAAATGTGATAGTTGTTACTATGTTAAGTATGTAGATATGGACCATATGGTTGTCAAAACCGTGTTACGAAGATCCTCCTTTTGTCAAATAGTGTAACCACTATATATGTGTTACTCAAATGTTGTTACTCAAGTTCATAAATTTTCATGGAAAGTATTAGTATCGTACACAATTCATTGAGTTTAAGTGTGTGCCCAATGTCCAGAAGGCATTTGGATATTAACTATCCATATTGCAAATTCACACACATGTTAACATAAGGAAACGTATGTGTACCATACTAATCATCGCACACGAGTACTCGCAGACGCATCGTGTGCGATACTCCTAGCCACCGCAAGCAACTAGTTTGCATTTTTTAAAGTTTTTTGTACACAAAGAATCGCACACGAAGTAACTGCATTGACTGTTTATGTTGTAATTTTTCATCGCAAACAGTTCATCTGAGTCGGCTGTTTGCCAGGTATCACACACATCTTGTTTACACGATGCGTTTGTGTTCTTTTGGCTTATCGCAAACAGTTCATCCATGTGAACTGTATGCCGCATATCACACACATCTTGTTAAGTTGAATCATTTATGTTGTGTTCCCTAATCGAGAACAGTTCGTCCCAGTGAACCGTATGCGGTATATCACACACATTGATATGGATGTCCGTTTCTGTTGTTCTACCTCATCGCAAAGAATTCGAATGGATTAACTGTGTGTCCTGCATCGCACACACATTGATATGGCTGCCCGTTTCTATTGTTTTGCCTCACTACAAACAGTTGGAATGGATTAACCATGTGCCCTGCATCACACACGCAACTAAAATATGAACCGTGTTTGATGGCTCCGTCATCGCAAAAGTTTTGCACCTTTTTTGACGGGTTTTTTACATCACTGTTTGCGATTATTGCATCGCACACAGTTTCGGCAAAGGGTCTCTGATCGTAGTGTCACGTTAGCAGTATCCTGTAGTAGTGAGACACCGACAATAGCCGACCTAATTGTAACCCTAGACCCCCCCCCTCCGGACCTATATAAACTAATGGGTAGGGTTGATAGACGACACAACAATCTCGTGGTATACCAATCTGTACTTTGTACTCCATCCAAATCAATACAACATAAGCAAGGCATAGGGTTTTATCTCTTCGAAGAGCCTAAACCTAGGTAAACCTCGTGTCCTTGTTACCATTGCATCTAGGCTACTAACTCAAGGGCCCCTACCCGAGATCTGTTGGAATCAACTGTGATCCTGCACCAGCACGAGCTCGCCATTGAGTTCCTAGATCTGCACGAAGTACTGGCGCCGCTTGTTGATAGAGAGCTTGACAACTTGTAGAAGGTAGATGTATATCCACCTTGGCATCACCGGCTGGAAAGCCCTAGGGATGATGAGCATGGCTAAATCTTTAGTGTCCCATATCTGCATGTAGAACCTGTGTGGCACCAATTCTGCCAGCTCATGCCTAATCCTCGACGGGCCGGCAGTCTTATGCAGAGGCTTCGTTGCCCCCTCCTCCCCGACAAGATGATCGTTGCTAGCACAACTAATTCTTTGGAGTCCTCCGCGCCTTCCATGACTTTGACCCCACCATCGATTTGGTCTCACTCGTTCTTTCTCACCTTGTCAGTTCAGAAGACAAGAGTGAGTAACACCGTTGCACTACACAACTAAGAACTAACCAGAGCAATGCCCGGTGACATGATTTGTGCATTGATCATGGCCATGCCATTGCCTTGATCAGTGGTCATACAAACATAGCAGGCATACCATTCCTACTCTAACCATAGGATTCCTTATAATCATATGTAGCATGAACACATTTCTAGGTCAACAGCCGTACTTATCATACACCGCAAGAACATGTAATCATAGCATTGTCGCGGGCACATTATAAGCACATATCATGAGAAAATTATAAGAGCATATCATGGTTCAAATCGATTCGACGCGAATCGAGTCGTTTCAAATCGAAGCAACTGCCCGAACAAAACCCTAACCACCCCAAAACTTGAATTGGTAGACAAGAAGATTTACGTACTACGTTCGTCTGGGGTGCCACCATGGGTGGAGGTGAAGCAAACCGCGCCGGAGGGGGAGGTGTAGCAGGCTGCACCAAACCCTGGCAGTAACAAAGGACCGGCAAAGGTGGATGTGCTTGCAACCGAATCCAGTGATCCTGCCATTGACGCGGCCCTCGTCACCACCATCACATTAGAGGTCTAGGCCGCCACAACTGACGTACCAGCCGGGGTGATGTTAGAAAACCCTCGGACATGAGTGAAAATCACCGCCCCCACCACATCCGAGGTGTCAGCACCCACAACACCCATCCACGTCACCACCACTTCAAATGAAGAACATCGGCAGCCGCTGCGGACACAAGAGCGAAGTTTCGTAGAGGGTCGATGGCCGCGGACCGTGGCCTCTTGCAGAGAGGGGACGGTGACTTGAGCCGCCAACAACTGACCGTGGTTAATGTCGTCTGCCGTCAGGCTGTCGAGCTAGTGATTGTGGTTCTTACGGTCAACGCGAATGGGATTGGGGTGGCACGGTGGTGGAGCGGCCATCAGAGACGAGGGGGCGGTGAGAGAGAGAACCAAATGGGGTTTGGGCAATGACATGTTCGAGATGTCCATCGTCTCCCGCGCTTCCTCAAGCGTGCAGGCAAGTCACACGTGACTCTCCAAACCTGGGTCCGAAAAATGGCCGTTTCCACTCAGCCTGGCCCGGGAGGAGTGAAGTCTAAAATAAACCTCGTAGTTGTAGAGCTCGACGCAAATGAACCCTCACCTCTAAATCCCTGAAGTTTATACCCTGTTCTTTTCAATCCCGGCCATTTTCAACCTTATATGCCTATCCAAACGGGGAACTAGATGGTGGCAGTGGAAATGGCTGGGATGGATGGGCTGTGTGCTGGAAATTGTATGAACCGACACAGTTAACGTATTTTGTGTGTGATGTGCTGAAGGCTACTTACGTTATGAGGCCTGATCTGAAGGCTAGCTTATGCATGCATGTGTACGCGGTATATAATGTATGTATTTTCACTGACTCACACTGCTAATCATGCTTTAGGTGCGCGTAGACAGGCGAAGCTCACGACCAGGTTAGCTCCTCTTTGCAATTGCATCGATCGGTGTTCCTAATCTGGATGCATGGCACGACACTTCAATTATGCAGGAGGACTCGGTGCTCTGCAGGGTGCTCGAGAAGCAGAAAGTGGACAACGAGCAAGACACCGTCCGCTCCTCCTCGCTGACCTTTGTCGGCTTCTCGCAAGCAACGCAGGAGCTGTCCGTGCCAGACACGTGCAGCGACCAGATGGGCTCAGGCGCCGGCTTCGCACCATGGCAGGAGGAGATGGTCTGTGGCTCGAGCCCATTGACAAACGCAGCGATCTGGCAGCAATACAACTCGGCAAAGAAAATTGTTATGGTCAAAGTCAGCAATCCTGGCCTTTAGTTGCCACATCATCAAATCCACTCATAAAACCGCCATAAGGTTTATTTAGACCGGGATTAAAGAGTATAGGGTACCAACTTCAGGGATTTAGAGGTGAGGGTTTATTTGCGTCAAGCTCTACAACGACAGGGTTTATTTCAGACTTCACTCGCCCGGGAGTGCTTTAAACATCATGCGGGCAAAAAAGACTGATGCAGACCAGACAACCAAACAGGATATTTTTGCACCGTGTGGTCCTGGTTGGGCTCATGCAGTCTACCAAACACATCCCTAGCTTACGCAGGACTGCATTATTTTACGTATTTGCAAGTATAAGGACCATGCACCAGCGAGTTCAAGGACGATACATGTAATTTTCTCTTCAAGTGGCCTCGGGGAAAGCAAAGCCTCACAGGGTTGAAGCATCCACTAGGGACGGAGACTGACTTGTCATTGTCTGTTTGATATCGGCAATTGATCTCGTTGATGGTATGCTGGGAGGCAGCAACACCATTCTGCAGAGGTCCTCACTGGCTAGTGCCGTGTAATCCAAAAATGCTTCGTAAGGTAGATGGGAGTGACTTGGGATGAGAACTGTTCTTGCTTCGACACAACAAAACCTCAAACAGACTACTATCACATAGGAGCTGACTTTAAATCACGACCAGACTGATTCGTAGCCACGGATGTCAATTAGGCATTACGGGTATAAACTAATCAATCTCACGCCAAACAAATATTTCACAGATCAGATGGGTATAATACTAACCAATCTCCAGCTTACCACCCATGTAGTATTCAGGAGTAAAAACAGAGTGGCTAAAAAAAAGAGTCAAACCTACATTTTGCAGTCAATACAAAACATTACCTCCGTTCATAAATGTAAGACATTTAGGCAGTATAAATTAGAATGCCAAAACTCTTATATTTAAAAACGAAGGGTGTAGTAGACAATTTAAGTAAAATCACTGACAGCCAATACACTAATAGTTAAACATAGCATTAGATATAAAGCCATTAAGACAATGGATAGAGCTGACAGCTTTAAATGGCTAACTGTATTTAATTTATATAATGTTCACGCCTAGTCATCATCCATACATCCCTCCCTCGAGATAAACTGCTTGTCTCGAACAAGAAGGGACCAAGCAACAGCGACTTCCACCTTATAGGAGGCAAGATCACATATGCCCCGACTTATTTTGCTTTCCTGGGCTGGAAAGAAGACATGGCCATGTTTAGTAACAAAACCATTTGAAGACAGGGCACGGATGATGACTTCGAGCTTTCCATCTAACTCTACGGAAACAACGTGCCTTGACAGATCAAGACAACCATCCCAATTGTTAGCTGTCACTTGACCTTGAAGCACAACCTCATCTTCATGTTTCAGCGCCGAAGATCTGTCGCCAACACAACTAACTTCACCTTGAAAGTAACCATCTGAAATGTTATCCATCACTTGATCTTGTAGCAGGACCTCATTCTGAGGTTTAACGGGCTTAGAATGTGCCTTGGCAATGACTAGACCACCATGTCTAAAAGGCCATTTCTTCTTTCTCCAATTAATAACACGGACACCGACTATAGTTGCTTGCACTGTCTTCTCCAGTTTCGCACACCGTAACACAATTCTGCAGGAGTCATCCAACAGAATGGCCTCATTACAGCTGTACTTGGAGGTCTGATGCATGAGCACTCTATCTTTTGACTTCATCCTGCCCTTTACTTTGAGTTTAATGTCAAAGTCAACAGGATCTATAGCCGCAATTGCACGAGACGGGCCAGTCAATTGCAAAAAAGGATTCTGCATTTGTCAATTATAATCATAGTTAACAAAACAGAGATGCAAGAAAAAAGAGAAACTGCACGGAAGTTTTTCAGGAGAAAATTAAGTACAACCTTTTGAGTGAGTGCAACAGTTTTGCTAAGCTAGCAGTTTAGCTGCCAACTTAACTACATGCTTATTTCTAAATGCATCTGTTCATAACAAATCAACGGACCAGAAACATAAAACAGAAAAATACGATACAGACCTCTGGAGTGAGTATCTGGCAGTCATTCCTTTGACGCAAGAAGAGAATGTTGCGATTGTGATCCACGGTATCTCGGGCAGCAACCATGCCATACACACGCAGTGGCCACTTCAACTCAGGAGTGCCCTTTATTACTGCGACTTTAATGGAGTATATTTGCAGAGTGCTGGTGGCGAATTCAGCATAAGAGGTGCGGTCCGTTGTACTGTGTGTGAAGTGCATAGGACTCAATGAAGCTGCAGTCGTCGAAAATAAGATTCAGATAATTCATTCGGCCACCACAAGTGAAGTAAATCCCTTCCTCAACAGAATGAAGTAATTTGCTTCCTTGAGACATGCAACAGGAAGGAAGAAAAACAACTAAGGTACAATGAGCAGAGAACATGTTTACTCACTCGCATCTTTGCAGGGACTGCTAAACAACCTGGACAAATTCGATTCCAAGGCGCGACAGTAGATAGTAAAGAACATCCCAGTCTGCATCTTCTCCTCCATCCCCTCAGCTTCCTCAATCTCCAATTTTGCCACCTCATCCCTCTCCTCGGCTTCCTCTCCCATCTCCTTGGCTTGCTCAATCTCTAATTCTGTATCTCCTGAAGTGGAAATCCTCTCCGGCAACTCGTCGCTCCCCATGGCTCCATTCACAGCCTCCATGGAGATCCTGGGTGGTGCCTCGATGATCCTCACCTTTCCGCCGCCTCTCTTTCCCCTCGCCTCCCCTTCCATCTCCGCCTCTCCTTCCATCTCAGGACACGGCTCTCTGCTCCTCGTCTTTCCGCCGCCACCCGCCGCCGCTGTTCTCTTCTCTTTTCGATTTCGAGGAGGGGAATGTCTTGCTTAGGGTTTCGACGAAACGGAGAGACCGGTGGGTGTGGGGGGTGCACTATATTGCGTCTGTCTCAGCCCGGCCCAGTAGAGACCGACACATACACTTCCAGCCAGTCCACACTGCTGCCGCGTGCTTCAAGAGGGAGCGAGCAAACCAGCTCCTCTCTTTTTTCTCACTTTGGGATTGTTGTTTGCCTTGTGCTATTTGTATTTGCATTCGCTTGTTAGGCTCAGCCCGGCCCTTTAAATATAAGAAAAAAAATTGCAACTAGTTTGGTTGCCTACATTGCATCACGAGGTCGTTTAATGCATGACATTTGGTTGTGAGTTGTGGTGCTTGTTTTCCTAACAATGAGTATTGGGTGTGTATAAAGGAGTGTAGAGACTATCAGATGAAAATATTACTATATTAAATTTATTTAAAATATTGTTTAACAAATTCCGATAATGTATGACCTAATTTGGAAATTTCAAATATATGCCCTGCCAGCCTCGCTTAGGCCCAAGAGGGCATTTCGGTCCTGTGTGGGCCGAAGACATGCCGATCTGGGCCGAAGGGTAATCTTCGGTGGCTAGTGGGCTGAAGAGATTAACTTCGAATGCGCGTACACCGAAGAGTGATCTTCACCAACACATGACCGAAGAGTTCACGATAAGGCTACCACGACCATTTCTTTCTCCTAACTCGTCATTCTCCATCTCTCCCTTCTCTTCGCCATTTTCTCTCGATCAACCTCCATTTTGTCCCCTAACCATTGCCACCTACCAGATCCACTAGATGAGACCTATTCCCGACAGCCAAGTCCTCGATCTATCCATGGGTAGAGGGTGGAGGCATGGGGGAGGATGTCTGGTGGGGAGCATGGAAGGAGGTCAGTTGGGGGGAGTTCGGGTGGAGGAGGAAGAGGTCTGTAGGGGTAGCTCAGGTGGAGGAGGAGCTTGACTGAGAAAAGTTGGGGCCGACAATCCGCAGAGGATCACGAACCCGGCGGCGGTGGCTCTCTTCTTCTTCCTCTCGCTTCCCTCTTTCTGTATCCTAGTTCGTGCTTGTAATCAGGGCTAGCTACTGTAATTCGGGCTTGTAATCGAGAGAGACATCTAGTTTCCTAACATCTGGTATTCAGAGCCAGGCACCACCCTTCCTCAAATTCTTCCACATTTTTTTCACCACCACCATCCGAGGGAATCAGCCATGGATCTGTCCATCCAGGAGTATCTCCAGCGGCTTGACGCCAGCCTTGACGCCTACACCAACGCCATACAGTCCCTCGCTGAGAAACTCGGCGCCCATGTCCAAAATCCACCACCGCCCGCCACCTCGTCGGAGAGCACAACTGACGCGTCGTTGCACATCCCTAGTGTCTCCTACTCCACAGGCGAGGCCCAAGAGGTTGTCGAGGTCGTCCACGACGCGCTCCCCGCCTGCAGCGCAATGGCGCATGTCGCCTGTTCGATGAAATGCTCGCACCAGGTCGCTGTCACCAACAACGTCGACAAGGTCACCACCGTCTACCATGAGTCTATCATCGACCCCAGTGACAAGTTCGGCGCCCTCACATTCCTGTGATGGCCAGCATCAACCCGATGTTCCACGTCCAAGTTCTGTCACCCAATTCCTTCGTCGATAGCACCCGCGGCGTCGCTATTGCAGGACCGAATGAGTACACACTCATGGCGGCCACTCCGGACGTCGCCCTCGAGCTTGCCGTCCTCTCAAGCGTCTCCTTCTCAACCAACAAGGCCCATGAGGTCCTTGTTGTTCCCCGCAGTGTGTCCCATATCTACATCGGCATGACGCCTTCTATCTGTTCGATGAAATGCTCCAACCAAGTTGGTGCCACTTCGTTCCCGTCTCCGGTCACGACGACATCGCTACTCCCAGTAGCCACACATGAGCTCGTCGTTGATCTCGTTTGTCCTGCTACCAAAGTTGTCAATTCGATGCAGCCGTTCTGGAAGCATGACTTGGACGTCTCGCCGCACACAAGCCACCAAGGCCTGCTGCTACGGCCGATGCCGTGGCCATCATTGCAAGCAACTCGTATTGCAGACGGAATGGAGACTCGACTAGCTACTGTAATTCGGGCTTGTAATCGACAGAGACATCTAGTTCCCTAACACGAAGGTAGTAGAAGATAGTACAAGCAACAGCCGCATGCCGCTTGAGGGATCTGAGAAAGAACTTAAGCAGAATCGAGCATTGGTATTCTTCTAGCAGATTTGCTGAATGAATCGTTTTAGTAAGAACATTGCTGCCAGAAACAAGCGTTGGCACACAGGAGTAGAAACAAAAAGCAGGCGGATACACAAATAATCAGATACCTAGTGACATCAGTTGATATAGAGATTTGCTGATATTACATTACATGATACGACGATACACAAATAGTTGCATATTTTTAGATCAACGCAGTACTGGAAGAACTGACTAAATGAGTTAGTCTGACGGCTATCATGTCTGCCTGGGCATCATCAAAGTTCCTCATTTTCCCCCCTCGTGATCCACAGCTTGTCCCAAACAAGACGGGACCAAGCAACAGTGATCTCCAGCTTAGAGTCGCCAAGTTGACACTCATTCTGAGTTATATTGCAATCTCTAGCCTGGATGGATACCTGAGCAGCCATAGCCCCAGATCGCGAGTTGGCCTCTATGAGAACTTCAAGCGTTCCACACAATTTTACAGAGACAACATGCCTTGACAGATCAAGGTAACCCTGTGAACAACTTGTCATTGCTCCATCTTGAAGCACAACTTGCCAAAACGAGGGGCCGGTCATGTGTTCAGGATTAGGCAATTTGGCTCTTCTCCGAGGCAGAGAGGAGCAAACAACTCGGCCGCCATTTTTAAAAATACTTGGCATCTCTTCAGGAACACAGACACGGATACCCACGGCAGTTGCCTGTACTGATTCATAAACTTCCTCTGAGCTTAACGCCATTGTGCAAAAGTCTCCTTCGAGAGGGATATATAGAGTACATATCCCACAATGACTACCGACATAATAACAGAAAAAACTCATCAATGGTTTATCTTCAGACTTGGTTGCGCCCTTCACTTTCAGCTCGATTTCCACGTTAAGAGGTTCCCGACTCACAATTGCACGAGACGGGCCAGTCAGGCGCAAAAAAGGATCCTGCATTCACCATTCATTAATCAGTGTTGCTAAGGTAGCACTTTAGTGGGCAATTGTTTGATACGTGTTCTTAACTACATGCGTATTTCAAAATGCATTTATTCATAACTAATCAGCGGACCAGCAAACAGAAAATAGGAAGATACTATAAGGACCTCTTGAGTGAGTATTTGGCAGTTACTCCTTCGACGGGAGAAGAGAATGTTGCGATTGTGATCCACGCTGTCTCTTGCAGCAACCACGCCGTACACTTCCAGTGGCCACTTCAAGCCAGAACCATCTTCTATTTCTGCGAGTTTGAGGGAGTAGATTTGCAAAGTGCTATCGATGAGAGCAGCCAATGGGCGTTGTCCCGGTGTAATGTGTGTATAGTGCATAGGACTCAATGACGCTGCAGCAATAAAAAAAGAAGACTATTTAGAGAATTCAATCGGCTTCCCTTACTAAAGAATGAAGGAGCCTGCTTGCTTGATACATGCAGTAGGTAAGAAGAAACGCAACGAACAATGAGCACATAAGTAGCATGACTGGATGTTTACTCACTCGTCTCTGTGAAGGAACCGTGGAATCTGGACCAATTCGATACCCAGCCGCTGCGGTACCTAGCAAAGAACTCCTCATCAGTCTACTCCTTGTCCATGTTGGCATCCTCTCCCATCTCCTCGACTTCCTCTGTCTCCAATTTTGTCTCCATGGAAGAGGAACTCATCGGCGACACATCGTGCAGCGGCTCCTTGAACAGCTCGGAGAATGATGGGGATTTGTTGCTAAGATGTCCCATCTGATCCAACTGGGTGCAGAGCTGATCCAACCCACTGAAGATCGCATTCAATCCGTAGTTGTAGTAGGTCCTCGACGCCTGCATCTTCGTTGCTGATTCGCCACTGTCTTCGGTCCTAATGTGGATCCCCTTCACACCCATCTTTTCCGTGACTGGCTCTTTGCCCAGAACCTCCCTGTTCTGCAATTTGCCCATCATCTGGAGCAAACTCGTCATGTCGGTGTACATGTTATCCATGTGGATTTGGATCTCACTAATGCTATAGTCGCTAATCCTCAGTTTCGGTTCGGGTTTCAGATTCATAGCGTTCTCAGAGAAAAGATAGAGTAAGGAGTAGATCTTAGCCTGAACGATCTTTGTGGCTGAATGAGTCTCCGATGTTGTCACCACATGCTTCCTCGCCCGGATCTTTACAGTATGCTCGAACGTCTGGCCATCAACACATCCCTCCCTCGAGATATACCGCTTGTCTCTAATAAGCAAGGACCAAGAAACAGTAACCTCCACCGTATGGGAGCCAAGATTACATGTGCGCCGACTTACTTTGCTTTCTTGGGCTGGAAAGAAGACACGACCACATGATTTGCGGGCATGTGATTTGTCGGCACTGATGATAACTTCCAGCCTTCCATTTAACTCTACAGAAACAACATGCCTTGACAGATCAATGTAACCATCTGAACTGTTAGCCATCACTTGATCTTGAAGTACAAGCTCTTCTTCAGGTTGCTCGGGTTTAATGGGCTTAGAAGTTCCCTTGGCAATGCAACTAACTCTACCATCATGTTTAAAAGGACATTTCCTTTTCCTCCAATTAGTAACACGGACACTCACTATAGTTTCTTGGACTGTATTTTCCAATTTCGCACACCGTAACATAATTTTGCAGAATTCATTCGACAGAGTGGTCTCATTAGCATTGTAGTTGAAGGTCTGATGGATCAGCATTCTATCTTCTGACCTGCTTCTGCCCTTCACTTTCAGCTTGATTTCAAAGTCAACAGGATCTATAGAAACAACTGCGCGAGACAGGCCAGTCAACTGCAAACAAGGATCCTGCATTTCCCGACAACTACAATCAACAAAACAACAAAAGATGAAAGCAAAAGGAAGTAAAGAGAAACTGGGCAATTTTTTTAGGATAAAATTAAATAAAACCTTTTGAGTCAGTATTTGGCAATCACCCCTTTCACGGAGGAAGAGAATGTTGCGACTGTGATCGACGGTATCTCGGACCGCAACCATGCCGTACACATGCAGTGGCCAATTAAACTCAAGAGCTTCTTTTATTTCTGCGACTTTGACAAAGAAAATCTACAGGGTGCTGGCAATGACAGCAGCACCAGAGGGGCTTCCCGGTGTAATGCGTGTGAAGTGCATAGGACTGAATGACGCTGCAGCCACCGAAAAAAGGAAGATTTAGATAATTCGTTCGGTTACTACAAAGTAAGGTAAATCCCTTCCTCAATAGAATGAATCAATCTGCTTGTTTGAGAGATGCAGCAGGAAGGAAGAAAAGGAACCTAATGTACAATGAGCAGATAAGTACGAGTAGCATGGATGCATGTTTACTCACTAGTATCTTTGCAGGGACTGCTGAAGAACCAGGACCTACACGCTTTCAAGCCGCCATAGTACATATCAAAGAACGGCCCAGTCTGCATCTTCTCCTCCATCCCCTCAGATTCCTCAATATCCAACTTTGTCACCTCATCCCTCACCGCGCCTTCCTCTCCCATCTCCTTGGCTTCGTCAATCTCTAATTTTGTATCTTCTGAAGTGGAAATCCTCTCTGGCAACTCGTCGCTCTCCATGGTTCCCTTCACAGCCTCCATGGAGATTCTCGGTGGTGCCTCGTCCGTCTCTCTGGCCTCCTCTATTTCATCCAATTTGTTTTTGGTCTCCAGCTTTATTCTTGTGAGGTTTTCCCGCGACTCCTTGAGCAGCTCGGAGATTGGTTTGGACTCCAAAACGGAACCAAGTAGTTACATCTTACCAAACATGGCGTGAAGCTGCTCCAACTCATGGAAGATCAAACTGAATTGGTTCACGAAGTAGATCCACATGGCCTGCGTGTACGTTAATGACTCGACCTTGTCTTGAGTCCTAAATCTGGACCCTCCTCATCTCCAGCCATTCCATCACCTCAGCCCTAGTCTGGATCCCCTTCGTGTTCAACCATTCCGTCACCTCCTTGTACATCTTATCCATGTGGCCCCTGGCCTCCATAAACTGTTGCTCCGGCCCGTCTTCCAGACTCATGATGTGCCTTCCAAGAACATCAAGCAAGGGGTAGAGCTCAGCCGCAACCTTCTTCATCGCTGACTTGATCTCCGATAACGACTTCACGTGCTTCCTCCTCGCAGCATGTTCGATGCCCTTCCTGGATTCGACGCTCTTCCGCTTCACCTTCCCTTCCATCTCAGGAACCCGATCTCTCATGATCCTCACCTTTCCGCCGCCTCTTTTCTTTTATTTTTGCTCCCTGCCCTGGGTTCCCGTGGCATGCTTGATGCCCTCTCCGACACTCTTTCCCCTCGCCTCCGCTTCCACCTCCGCCTCTCCTTCCATCTCAGGAGACGACTCGTCTTTCCGCTGCCACCCGCCGCCGACCGCCGGTGCTGTTCTCTTTTCTTTTCGATTTCGAGGAAGGGAATTTCTTGCTTAGGGTTTCGAGTTTCGACGAAACGGAGAGACTGGTGGGTGTGGTGGGGTGCACTCTATCGCGTCTCAGTCTCAGCCCGGCCCAGTAGAACGACACACACTGTGTCGGCTGGCTCGGGATAGCGCAAACCCGCCACTCTTTTTTTCTCACCTTGGGCTTGTTTGTTTGCCTTGGGCTATTTGTATTTGCATTCATTGTTCGGCTCAGGGCTCAGTAAATATAAGCATTCGTTGTCTCAAAAAATTCTTGTCTCAAAAAATTCGTTGTCTCAAAAAATAGTAAATATAAGAAAAAAAATATTTTGCATCTGGTTTGGTTGCCTACAGTGCATCACAAGGTCGTTTAATGCATGACATTTGGTTGTCAGTTGTTGTGCTTATTTTCCTGACAATGAGTATTGGGTGTGTATAGAGGAGTGTAGAGACTATCAAATGAAAAAATTATTGCCTCCTCCTTCCTCCACGAAAAGTTAGGGTTTCTGCCTCCCGCCGCCGCCGCCGCAGGTCCGCCTCCTCTCTGGTGGTCCTAGGGCCATGGGGGCGGTGGATCTCGGCAAGGGCCGGTGGGAGGGCTCCGTTTTTAGTCGTTTCTTTCAGTTTTGCTAGGGTTTGTGTCCTGCTCAGGAAGACGAGACGGTGGCGGCTCCCTGAAGATGGAATAAAGGTCTTCCCGTCTAGCCCCCGTTCCGGCGGTGCTTCTAGCACCGTTGGTGGGCATGTGGAGGTGTGTCTCCGGCGTATCTATCTTTGGTGGATTTGCTCGGATCTCGTTGTTGTTCGTCTACGTTCGCGTGTCTTCAGATTGGATCTTTCTGATATACATTATTCTTCATCTGTAGCAGTTGCTGTTTTGGTGCGCTGGTCCTACGGGGCCTTAGCATGACGACTTCCCGACTGTCTACTACAACAAGTTGTGCCCGACTCCGGCGATGGAGGGGCGATGACGGCGGCGCACCTTCGGCTCGCTTCAGTGCTGGTAGTCGTTGCTAGGTGGTCTATGGATCTGGATGTAATTTTTATTATTTCTGGTATTCATTGTACTGCCATGATTGAAGATGAATAGATCGGAAATTTTCTCACAAAAAATGAAAATATTATTAAATTTATTAAAAAATATTTTTAACAAATTCTGATAATGTATGACCTAATTTGGAAATTTCAAATATATGACCCCGCCAGCCTCACTTAGACCGAAGAGTGGGTCTTCATTCGTACATAAGCTGAAGAGTAACTCTTCGTCCAACGTAAGGCCGAAGAGGGCATTTGGGTCCTGTGTGGGCCAAAGACATGCCGATCTGGGCTGAAGAGTAATCTTCGATGGCCAGTGGGTTGAAGATATTAACTTCGGCTGCGTGTACACCGAAGAGTGGTCTTCGCCAAGAGATGACTGAAGAGTTCAGGATAAGGCTACCACGGTCATTTTCTTCCTCCTAACTCCTCATTCTCCGTCTCTCTCTTTTCTTCGCCATTTTCTCTTGATCAACCTCTGCTTTGTCCCCTAACCATTGCCACCTACCAGATCCACTAGAGGAGACCTATTCCTGGTAGCCAAGTCCTCGATCTATCCATGGATAGAGGGTGGGGGCATGGGGGAGGATGTCCGGTGGGGAGCAGGTGCTGGAATTTAGTCTATTTTGGGCAGCCCAATAACTATTTCAGAAATTCCTAATAAATCCTAGAGGCCCACTTAGCCCATTTATGCAAGGCAAGGGATACTACTAAAATTTAGTCCCACATTGCTAGTTTAGTGGGAGTTGGACCTCCTTATAAGGGAGGTTCTTTCTCCACTTGTACGAGCATGAGAACAAGTGGGATATCCACGCGCGCTCCTCCTCCGCCGCCCGCCTCGCCACGCCTCGTCACGACGCGCCATGGGTTGCGGGAATGAGCCGAGCCGATATCTAAATTTTTGCCATGCACTACAGGTATACGAAAGGTCACACGAAAGCTGAAAAGATTTTTGCAAAAGTGGAGTTCGAATGCGAACGGTGCAGCCCCTCATTTGCTGGCTGTTCGCTTCGTTTCGCCTCCCGTCGTTGCCCTCTCGCCTCCTTCTCTTGCGCCTATAAAAGGGAGGTCGCTCCTCCCAGAGAGACGCAACAGAACTACTCCTTCCCTCGCCATCGATTCCATCTCTGAGCTGCTGTTGTCTTCCTCATCCCGGCTTGCGGCATGCACCACACATCGGGATAGTAGGCCTCCGAGACCACACCTTTGGAGTCCTGTACGGGAGAAGGGTGATAAGGTTTTTGGGGAGTGCTCTGCGCGACTACTGGCTTCTTCATCACGGACTCCGACGACTACTTTCCCAACGACAACTTCTTCCCTGACGCCGACTACCTCAGCAACGACATGGCTGGAGAGGATGTCGACCCCAAGTCCAGTGCTTCTACTGCTGTTGTCCCATATGTGTTCTTCTTCTTTCTGTCAGATGTCCTACCATAGTTTCTCGTATTACTTCTTGCCCTACATTTGTTAGGTTCTACTCCATATATGCAGCATGATCTAGTGTTTGTCCTAGATGTGTTCAGTTCAAGTTCATATATGCAGATGCTATTTACTTTCTCTCCGTCAGATTGCATGACTTGCTTTATCGCAGCTATATTAGTCATGCTTTATCTAATATTTCTGTTAATAAAATCATTTGGTAAATTGCTCATATTTCCAACAATCCAAAAACCTTATTATAGGCAATTTACCCCGAGTGGTTTTGCTGCTTCCATGAGACCTCCTATGTTTGAGGGTATCCACTATAAGAGGTGGCGCCTGAGAGCATTTATGGTTTCAAACCATGAGTTGTTGTGACGCCACTCTCGGCAAACCTGAAGGAGAGCTTGATGCTCAACAGGCACAAGCTTTTCAGAAAATGGATACTCTGTTTAAGGCTGCTCTCTTGAGTGTTCTTGGTGAGAACATAGTTGATGCTTATGCGTCCATTGATAATGGAAAAGATATGTGGGATGCACTCGAGGCCAAGTTTGGGGTCTCGGATGCTGGCACTGAGCTGTACATCATGGAGCAATTCTATGATTACAGGATGACTGAAGAGCGCTCCGTGGTTGAGCAAGCTCATGTGATACAGTCATTTGCTAGAGAACTTGAGCATTTAAGTTGTATGCTACCAGAAAAGTTTGTTGCCGGAGGTATCATCACTAAGCTTCCTCCTTGATGGAGGAACTTTGCTACCTTGCTGAAGCATAAGAGGCAGGAGTTTTCTGTCCCGGATCTCATTGGCACTCTTGATATGGAAGAAAAGGCGAGAGCAAAGGACACACGTGCTCGAGGTATTGAGGGAGGACCTAGTGCCAATGTGGTACAGAAGCAGAACTTCCAGCCCCACAAGTTCAAGAACAAGGGCAAGTTTGATGGAAAAGCAAAGTTTGATGGGAAGAACAAGGCTATGCAACACACGAACTTCAAGAAGAAGAATGGCAAGAAGAAAGGTGCTTGTCATGTGTGTGGGGATCCTGATCATTGGGCTCCTAGTTGCCCTAATCTCTATGACAAGCGTCATCCTGGGAAAGGCGGCAAGACCGCTAATGTTGTCATTGGAGACACTGACATGAAGGATGCTGGGTATGGTATATTTCCCATTATTCTTTCAGTATGTCATTCTCCTAACTGGTTGATTGACACGGGTGCTAATGTGCATGTATGCGGTGATATTTCCATGTTTTCGTCTTATCAGACCGCAGGGACTTCAACCGTGCTGATGGGCAATGGTTCAAGTGCTTCTGTTCGTGGTGTTGGCACGGTCGATCTAAAGTTTACTTCGGGGAAGATCGTGCGGCTGAAGAACGTGCATTATGTCCCATCCGTCAATAAAAATCTTGTTAGCGGATCTCTTCTGTGTAGAGATGGCTACAAGCTTGTCTTTGAGTCGAATAAATTTTAATATCCAAGTATGGAACCTTTGTTGGTAAAGGCTATGAGTCAGGAGGCTTGTTTCGTTTATCCTTATCAGACATTTGCAATAAAGTTGTTAATCATATTTGCAACAATAGTGAATCCAATGTGTGGCATTCACGTCTTTGTCATGTTAACTTTGGTTGCATGTCGCGACTAGCAAAGTTGAACTTAATCCCTAGTTTCACCACCGTCAAGGGATCTAAGTGTCAAGTGTGTGTGCAAGCTAAGCAACCTCGTAAGTCTCACACGACTGCGGAAATAAGAAATCTTGCACCACTAGAGCTCATACATTCAGATCTATGTGAAATGAATGGTGTGTTGACAAAAGGTGGAAAGAAATATTTCATGGCGTTAATTGATGACTCCACTAGATACTACCGTGTGTATATTCTAAAATCTAAGGATGAGGCTTTGAACTTTTTCAAGATCTATAAAGCTGAAGTGGAAAACCAACTTGATCGAAAAATCAAGAGGCTTAGGTCCGATCGTGGTGGAGAGTATTTTTCCAATGAATTTGATGCTTTTTGTGCGGAACATGGTATAATCCATGAGAGGATGCCTCCCTATTCACCTCAGTCATATGGGGTGGACGAAAGAAAGAACCGTACTCTAACAGATTTGGTTAACTCCATGTTAGACACTTCGGGTCTCTCCAAGGCATGGTGGGGGGAGGCGATATTGACTGCATGTCATGTCCTAAATCGAGTTCCCACAAAGAACAAAGAGATAACTCCATTCGAGGAATGGGAGAAGAAAGGGTTAAAACTCTCTTATCTACGAACATGGGGTTGTTTGGCGGAAGTCAATGTTCCAATTCCAAAGAAGCGGAAGCTTGGACCAAAGAGTGTGGATTGTGTTTTCCTGGGATATGCTTTTCATAGCATTGGCTATAGATTCTTGGTTGTAAAATCTGAGGTACCTGACATACATGTAAGTACGATCATGGAGTCGAATGATGCGACTTTCTTTGAAGATATCTTTCCCATGAAGGATATGGC